CGAATGTGGTACAAAAAAAAACAATTTTTTCCTAATGCATAATGTAATTTCTTACTACTTTATTTCTCTCTTAAATTTAGGGTGAAATATGACCAGGTCATGTTATTTAAAAGAGTGATAAGGGAATTATACAAATGAATATATTAATTAATGAATTACATGAATGTACCTCTGAAGGTTCTGACTATGGATGTCAATTTTCGATCATTTCCATGATCGATCGTCGTTTAAATTAACGATCAATTAATCGATTAATCGTTAACCTTAATGCTGCAAAATGCGTCTATGCAGCCCGGCATGACAGGATGTGCAAAAGTTACTCAAAAAAAAAAAAAACGCTTTCTCACCCGATTTAAAGGGGATTTAGTCTGAATAAAATGCTAGTAACAGTATTGTAAAATGAATAGATGTGATTATGATCATTTGATAAAATGAAGAGAGCGCGCCGTACGTTTGAGATCATTTTACTTTAGTGACTGTTTCCTATCCCGACACAGAGACCGCTGAACGCGCCTCTTTAAATGGTTTCGTGGTGCTCGTTATTGTATTTTAAAACACAATTGCAATGTTTTCAACTGACATTATGGCATTTAAAATAAAATGATCCCAAACGTAACTGTGCCGCGTGTGGCTGTGCTGCGCAGTCAGTGAACCGCTTCCATCGGCGCCTGCTGCAGCAAAACACACGGTTGCTAACATGAAACATGAAACATTATCATGTGAGTATTATGACCAGTACTTAATTTGATCCTGCTGGATCCTGTTCCGGAAAATGTCAGATTTTTAATTTTTGCGTTCCGGTAGGCCTATTTGTTTTTAAAAACCCGGCATTTACAGTGCATTAGATCATGACAGTGCATGCGTACGAGCCCAGGACCTCCACATCCAGCATCTTCACCTCCAAGATCGTCTGAGACCAGCCACCCGGACAGCTGCTGCAACAATCGGTTTGCATAACCAAAGAATTTCTGCACAAACTGTCAGAAACCGTCTCAGGGAAGCTCATCTGCATGCTCGTCGTCCTCATCGGGGTCCCGACCTGACTGACATGCTTATGGTATGGGCAGGCGTGCGTTATGGACAACGAACACAGGTGCATTTTATATGCACAGAGATACCGTGACGAGATCCTGAGGCCCATTGTTGTGCCATTCATCCACGACCATCACCTCATGTTGCAGCATGATAATGCACGGCCCCATGTTGCAAGGATCTGTACACAATTCCTGGAAGCTGAAAACATCCCAGTTCTATAATTTTGTTCAGTGTAGCTAATAGGCTATTTTTGTATTTTTTTCTCTCTGCGACAATTTTTTCCTATTGTGTTGTCAATGTTAAACGAATTGTATCCTGACAAGATGAATAAAAATAAGAAATAAAATGTTTGTACATTTTTATTTTCTCTGACACTTTTTTTCCTACTGTGTTGCATAAAATATTAAACTAATTTTGTGTCTTAAGATAATTCATATAAATTCAAGTCAAAGTCAATAAATTCAAGACTCTTGACAAGACGAATAAAATAACATACAATTTTGTGCAGAATACACTTTTATTTGTCAGTCTATCTCTCTTTCTTTCAGTAGCGGAAATTTAAATGTAAGATTCTAGAAACGAGATCTAAATTTAGCGGGAATGGTTGGGTCGGGAAGAAAATTATTCTAAGCGGACAGCAGGTGAACAAAGTGTGAATATATAGCGGGAGCGGGTGGGTGTGGAACAGAACCTTGCGGGAGCGGGACTAAAAAAACAGTCCAGCGCAGACCTCTACAAGGCATCACAATATGGCAAGGGGCGTAACATTTCCGTCACACGCTTGAGGTATTCGGCCAATCACAACGCACTGGATAGCTGGCCAATCAGAGCACACCTCGCTTTTCAGACCGATGAGCTTTGTAAAAATCTATGCGTTTCAGAAAGGCGGGGCATAGAGGAGAAACAATAATGTACAGTATGTGGAAAATAATGTGTTTTTTGAAACTTAAACCGCATAAACACATTTCATTACACCAAATAATGTTCTTTTTAGCAGCATCATATGACCCCTTTAAACAGACTAAACAATTGGAGAAGTCCTACATATGTCACCAGAGAGAAATCTGGTGTTTTCACTGGAAGGCCCAGTTTTTATTATGCATTACAAGGTCAATTTAAAAAATAATAATAATAATAAAACATATGCAATTATGATCTGGAAATATGTTCCAAAACATGCCAACTCTTCTGCTACACACTCAAAAGTATGCACATTTTCTTTACAAAAAGAATACACATTTTTAGGGAACGGCATATGTAGGCAAATTGGGACGCATCACAACAGATTTACTTAATTTCTCAATATGCATCACAACATACAAAGTGCAGAATTTAATTAAAGCGACCTGATGTCATTGTAAAAAATACAATCATCATACAACAGCAGCGTTCATTAGCATGTAGCTATTCTGTACTGTCTGCCAAGAGAAACGGGCATGTGTTTTTTTTTTGTTTGTTTTTTCAAGAGAAACAAGCATATGGTGGCGCTGAAGGACACAGTTACTGCAGCAGTTCTAAAAGCCCTGCTGGAAGATTGATTGCCCATGCAATGAATGTCAGTTTGATGCCACTTCAGACACGACCAAAAGCTACTTCTATTTAAGGGTAACGTTAAAAGCACAGTTCAGACAACAACAACAAAATGTCATCGTTTACACACCCTTATGTTGCTCCAATCTCATATGAAATGTTAGGCAGAAAAGATGCAATGAAAGTAAATGACATAGGCTGTCAATATCTAAATGTTCTGCCAAAAATCTGATTGTTTTAGATTAAAGAAAGTCAGGCAGATTTAAATCTGAGGGTGTGTAAATGATGACAATTTGATTTTAAAGTTAACTGTCAATTTAAGCAACGTAGCCGCTGTCAGAAATATAAACACATGATAACTACAGCACATCATCACATTAACTTTCTCTTTATATAGACAAAAGAAACATTTAACGTCTTATTAGAGTTGTTATTCGCTCGTCACAAAACCGAGTGCCTGCTTAGACGACACTGCGCATTTAGAACGTTCACGCGCCCTTTGCATCTACAAACGCTGTCTAGGTAGGCAGCCAACTAGGTTTTGTGACACAGCCCGTGTGTGTTGTTTGACTGAGCAATACCTTTTCCATCTGCGCGTCCTGGTTCTCACTCTTCGTCGACTTCTCCTTCTCCTTTTTCGTCTTTTTCAGCGCCATTGCGGCTCCTCCGGTTGCCTGCTCCTTTCCCTTAACGTTACCCTTCTCCTTCTTTTTTTTCTTGTCGCGCTTAGCGAAGAAGTCATCCAGACTCTTCTCCACGCCGGCCGGAGCCACATCCGCCATCTTATCCCCAAATTTCCCTCACTAAACACTAAAAAAGCTTAGAAATGATCAGATCAGTGTCTGAAACGACAGCAAACGAGCCCTTGCGTGCGTGTCTGCCCGGTAATCCGTATGTTTCATGTATCCGCAGGTTAAAGGTTTGCTGAGGGCAGCATGACAAACTCGCCAGCTGAAAGTGTGACACAGTCGCCCAGTGCACCGGATAGTGTTGCTTCCTATCTGACCCGGATGGGAAAACGCCTTTGTGATTGACAGTTCTGCTTTCCAATCGCTGAGCGACAATGTTAGTTTTCGACCAATCCCATCGCAGGGTGAGGATTCTGCATAGTGATTTTGCCAGATTGTGCAACTTTTGTTTTTCAATTCGGTCTTTAGTAGTTATACAACACTTGTGGAGTAATTTAGTTAACAAATGAAAGAAAACGTATTTCTACTGATAAATTTAGGTATGTGGTGCCATTTTAAACTGCAAAAAAAAATGCACAGAAGAGGCAGAATTGCAGAAATAATGTTAATAAATTATTGTTTTAAACATGACATGAATATAGAAACGTGAAATAGCAAATTAAAATATAGAATTAAAATATAACAAATATGATATGAAGAAATTGTTCATATTAACACAAAATAAACATTTTATGTAATATTTTATATACTTTTTTTGAGAATCTGGCATCTGAATATTGAGGGTGGTAGGCTCCTCAATGCCTTTAAGGGTTATTGGCTTGCTTAGGGCCCTTTATAAGAAGAAGTGATTGAAAAGAGGTGTTGTTAAGATACTATGAATAGTCTTTCCTGTTGCGTTGACACGCTTATGTGGAAACTCCTGTTTACTCTGGTACTGAAGCCTGATTTGTTCACGTTCGTGTACCTGCACAAACCAATGGCGCTTCAACCCACCAAAAGGGGAGGAGTGACCTTTATATAAGTCGTCTCTGAGCGCCATTTAGTCAGAATTTTTATCCTTCAGTGACGAAGATCATCTCCTCGCTGACTCTGCAAGCAAGAAGCCTAAGAAGGAAGAAGCTCAGCTTAGCCTGTTGCTCGTCACTGTAGAATAAGCCCCCGGCAGCGGGAGAAGCCAGAAGCCTTCCCCTGTGGCCATTCGGCACTATAAGAGCAAATTTCCTGTGATGTTGATGCAAATGTCGCGCCGCAAGTGTGGCTCGTACAGGGAACCCCTGCACGATGCATACGGGCACAGTGAGTGCATCGCCTGTCTGGGCAGATCCCACGCAGAGGCTCCGTTCACTGAAACGACATGCTCTCACTGCGAGAGCATGAGTCTCGCCCTCCTCCGCTCTCGGATCGCCTTCTTTAATGAAGGCAGTCCTCCCCGCTCTGCTCTCCCATTTCCTCTCTACCCTAGGAGAAAGAAACAGAGGGGCAGCAGGGTTTTAACACTGGGCTCGAGTGAACTCATGGCAGCGCAATTCCCACGTGCTTCACTCTCCCCCCAACGCCTCGATTCACTGGTGCGCTTCACACGTGAGGACCATGAGGAATGGCTTCCGATGCTGAAGAGTGGGCGTGTTCCAGCAAAGAGCCCGAAACCCTACCTCTGGCACAGACAACATGGCCCAGCGTGTTTGCATTTAACACAGAGTGATGGAAGCCCCATTCAAGCTGGGCCCGTCCTTCTCACTCAGTGCACGCCCAAGCAAACTACTGCTGTGATAGTGGACCCACATACTCAAAAGAGCATTTCTCCTCTCCTCATTACCACGAATGTCAGTTCCCCGCCCCCGTGCAGCGAACTTCCATTCGAAAAAACTTGAATCACTTGCTTCAGAATGAAATGGCTTCATTCTTGGAAAGCCATCCCGAATGTGTCAAGTTGGGTTCTAAAAACCATAGAAAGAGGTTTCTCACTTCAGTTCGGCCCGAAGTACAAACACTGCTTGCAAAAGGAGCCGTGGAAACGGTTCCTATAGCAAACAGCGAATCAGGGTTTTACAGCCACTACATCCTCGTTCACAAGAAAGATGGTGGGCTCAGACCCATTCTCGATCTCAGACATCTGAACCGCTCGCTTATGAGACGGCCGTTCAAGATGTTAACTTTGAAACCAATCCTGGCACATGTATGTCCCGAGGACTGGTTTCTGTCAGTGGATCTGAAAGACACTTACTTTCACATCCAGATAGCCCCCCATCACAGATCGTTCTTGAGATTTGCATTCAAGAGAGTGGCCTATCAGTACACAGTCCTGCCATTCGGAACTGTCCCTGGCCCCGCGCACTTTTACGAAGTGCATAGATGCGGCTCTTTCCCCTCTGAGACAGATGGGAATTCGCATTTTGAACTACCTCAACGATTGGCTTGTTTTAGCCAGGTCAGAATGGGAACTCATCGCTCACAGGTCGCTGCTGCTCAGCCACATGGACCACCTTGGGTTCAGAATCAATTTAGCCAAGAGCTCTTTGGCTGCATTTACACTGGCACAAAAAAATCCGATTTTTTGCTCACATCTGACACGGATCAGAATAAACACAGACTGTGTAAACACAAAAATCTGCACGAGATCTGATTTTTTCGCATCCGATCTGAGCGTCTTCCAAATGTTGTTTTAAATCAGACACATATGCGATATCTGGACATCCGACCTATGTCTAAACACACATCTCCGATTCCCCGCAGAACTCCCAATGCTAGGGCGACACGTCTGCCCATAAAGATTGTGTTTTAATGCTGGTGTGGTGTATGCACTCGCATTTTATTGATATGGAAACTTTACATAGGTAAGAAGAGCTGGTTTTCAACCCCTGCCCCGTGAATTTTATAAATACAACAGCTAAAAGCTACATTATATTTCTCAGCAATTAGGTGATAACTTAGCAGTTTTTTCATTACAATAAATATCATCTTTGCGCTACTTTATTTCACTAAAGAATTCTACCTCTAATGAACTGTAGATAAAATAGCCTAACAAATGAAAATTACTGTTATTTTCCTTTATTTATCTGTTCAGTCAGATTTTGTGGGGCAAAACATCCATGACATTGTCCATGCTGGCAAATAATAATAGCCACTCGACATGAATTATATAAATAATTTTAATAGCACAGCCATTCAAAATCCGAGGGTCTACCATGTGCAGTAAAGTGATAACTGCAGACAATCCTTTTGGGCGGGAATTAATTTAAACACAGATACAGATATCGGATACCAGTTGTGTCTAAAGTGAATGTAAACAGGCGGGCCAAAAATTGGATATGGTCAAAAGATCGGATTTGTTTATTAAAGGCAGAGTAAGTGATTTTTCAAAAACACTTTAGAAAACTGATTCGGGCCGAATCGCAAAACAAACTTGTAGCCAATCAGCAATAAGGGGCGTGTCTACTCGTGATGTGGAGGAGAGCGCGTTCACTGCATGGAACGGAAAAGCGGATTTAAATTCAGCGGTTGATGACGTAACGCACTGAAAGTTCTAATCACACTGGTGTGATCGTACGCTTCAGGGACCAGCCAAGACTGATCACACTGGTGTGATCGTACGCGTCAAAGGGTTAAGACTTACAGTGTAAATGTAGCCTTTGTCTCCTAGCCAGCGAGTGGTCTTTCTGGGGACAGTTATCGATTCTGCCTGAATGCGGGCATGGATTACGCCGGAATGCTCCCTGACTATTCAGCGTCTAGTGGCGTCATCCAAATTAGGGACTTCACGTCCCCTCATGTCAGCCGCTTCTTCAGTGATTCCTCTGGGCCTGCTCAACATGAGGCCCCTACAGTACTGGCTCAGAGCCCATGTTCTGTCCCACGCTTGGCGCCTGGGACGTTTTCATATCAGGGTAACCCACTGCTGCATCAGAGCCGTGGCCCTTTGGAAAACCTCTCGCCTGTTTCAATCAGGCGTCCCATTGGGACTGATCTCCAGAAGGAAGGTGGTCACAACAGATGCCTCCAACTCGGGTTGGGGAGCTTTGTATGAGGGCAGACCGGAGTCTGGTCAAACCTGGAGCAATGAATACACATCAACTGCCTCGATATGATAACGGTTTTTCTGGCCCTAAAAACCTTCCTGTCACCTTAAAAGGGCCCAACGTCCTGGTCCGTTTGGACAACATGATGGTGGTAGCCTTAATCGGGCAGACTGAACCAGGGGGCAGACATGTTGTCCAGGGACAAGGTAGCTCCAGGAGAATGGAGACTACATCCCCAAACAGTTCAAATGATTTGGTCTGTCTTCGGGAGAGCAGAGGTGGACCTCTTCACCTCAGAAGACAACTTTCACTGCCCAGTCTACTTTTTGAGACAGCAAGATGCCCTGGCCCACGATTGGCCCAGCGCTCACCTGTACGCCTTCCCCTCATTTGCCCTGCTTCTTCAGGTCATCAGACGGGTCAGGGAAGTCAGATGCTCAGTCCTCCCGGTGGCCCCGCTCTGGAGGAATCAGATGTGGTTCATCGAATTGATTCAGATGCTATCGGCATCCCCTTGGTCAATACCACTGAGGGAGGACCTTCTCTCACAAGCGAAGGGCATGATTTGGCATCCCCGGCCAGAGCTGTGGAACCATCATGTTTGCCCCGAACGTTATCAGGAAGGCTATTCCAGAGTTTGGGAGCCAAATGCGAAAAAGCTCTACCTCCTTTAGTGGTCTTTGCTATCCTAGGTATTACCAAAAGTCTTACTGAGTTTCCCCATAAGCGTGTTAACGCACTGCTCGTTCCCTTATCTCAGGGAACCAAGGTTACTTTAGTAACCGGAGCATTTTACTATGAAGCATAGGATTTATTTTTATTTATTTATTTATTTTTATTATTTTTTTTACAAAGGCAGCATAAAGTTTTATAGGCCTAATACAGTGAGTATAGAAAAGAATCCCCCGCCCCCCCTTAAAATAATCACATTTTGTTGCTTTGCAGCCTGAAATAAAGATGGGCACAGTTTTTGTTTTATCCAACTGTATTTACTCAGTCCAACTTATAACATCCAAGTGAAAGATATAACACCAACATGCCAGAAAAAAAAGAGAAAAAACCTGATCACTGAGTTGGAAAAAAGGATAAAAATGACTTGTAAACTCAATCAGGTGTAGCTTATCACCTCCTCAATGGCACACAAAGCCATTTGACTTTCAATTGTGATCATCTGTGGTTCAGCTGTGGATCAGCTTTTGTTTAGCTCAGCATGAAAAGAGCTTTCCTGGAGCATTTCAGTCCTTGGTAGTGCAAATGAAGCAAACAATCAACTATGGGTGGCAAGGCACTGTCAAAAGACCTTTGGGATAAAGTTTTGGACAGGCA